CTCCCAGACATCTTTCATTCATCAATCTCATCAATCAATCAATCAAAGGTACTAAACGCCTAGTATTTACACAATTCCATTCCATTCCCTACCTATTTATATATACATACTAATTTTACCCATTTTTCTTTCTCCCTTTCATCATCGTCATATCGGTAACATAAGTAAATCACTCATTGAAATCGTAAAGCTCCCTTCCATCTGTTCACCTGCTGTTGGAACCAACTCCTATTAGGTGCCTCCTCGAGCTCCTTCACTAGATCTTCGTAGTATGTTGGGTTGCTGGCGGGTTTGAGGGTTTTGCTTGTTAGAGGGTACTAGATTGAGAGGGGTGTTAGTTGGATTTTATGATTTCTCTTCTTTATTTTTTTTCTTTCCTTCTCTCTTTTAAAACAGAGCATAAGACATTCTCTACCCTCCCTCTCCTTCTCCCTCTCTCTCTCTGTTCCATGAAAGTAGAAGAAATCAAATCAAATCAAACATACCTTCCCCAAATACCGATTCTCAACCAAACTATACAGTGCGTTTACCTGGCCCAGCTCTTTCTTTTCGTTGAAGTTTCCAGCGGCGGATACGCGTTCGAGGCGGCGGCGGATGGCGTCTTGGAATTGGGCTTCGGGACGGAGGGCGTCTTTGGGCCAGCGGGAGAGGGCGCGGAGGTAGTGGCGGGTGGCGGGCTGGAGGAGGGGAGGGGTGTTAGTTGGGTTGTTTGGGTTGTTTGGGTTGGGAAGGGAAAAGGAGGGAGGAGGTAAGAGGGGGGAACAAGACAGGGAGGCGTTGAGGATAATGAGGATATAGCTTATGCAGAGTAAGAGGTTCAAACAGTCCTCATAGCATAATTACTCTATCCCATCTCATCCCCCATTCAATTCATCCCATGACATGAAGATCTAGACTTCTAGCCCAAGCGAGCACATCCCATCATATCTCGCCCCCGGTACAAATTCAAGCATTTGATTTCCCCAACACCACCACCACCATCAATACCAAAGACCAAAACAAACGTTGAAGAAAATCCAAACTTACAGATTGCGACATGATGTTTTCAATAAATCAAACCCTCTCGTACAAAATATTCACAGAGAAGGAATCGACAGGGAATCTTTTGGATCTCGTAGAATTGGAGGGGGAGAAATAAAATGGATTTTCAATGCAGATTATATTATGGATGTATGTGATGGATAGATATGTGGGTGGTAGGTACAGGATGCGGTCATGACTTTTGGAGAATGGTGAGTGGAATGAATGATGCTTCTAGGGTGAGCTAGAGCCTAGAGAGGAATGAGAGTTAGTGAGTTTTAGTGGGTGGTGCATGTTACTATGCGGTGCGAGATTTTGCTAACGGGTGGTGCGGTGCTGCTTGTGCTGCTTGTGCTGCTGTGCTGCTATATTTGGATGTTAGAGATTGGGTGGGTGTGTGATTAGTTGCTATGGGCAAATATGATGGGTGTGCGGTTAGTACATATGGGAGCGTTTGATGCGAGAATTTGGGGCAGGTGATTTGAGAGCATGATTTGTAAGAAATCATACTTTGGCACGGGGTCAGAGATGTATGTGATTTGAGTTGGGAATCTCATCTCGGAATGAATGGATGAGGGAATGAATGATTGAGGAACTTGGAGTACCTAGGTATCTATCTATCTATCTATCTATGTACGGAGTAGTTCCAACATGAATCGTAAAACATATAACTAGACGATCGTGTATATATATATATATATATATGCATATTTACTAAATCTTTCTATATCCTTCTAAAATGCAAATTCACAATAATAATCCCATTGTCTATCCCCTTATCAATCAAAAGAGCCGCTCACCAGTCCTTGTTCCTTACTGCGCCTTTTCCCTCTAAAATGCCAATGATTTCTAGCGAATGAATGCACTAAATAAGAGTACCACCTAACCATACTGTAACCCATCTCATATCTCAAACAAAGCCGAAAGGACCATCCTTCTCCACGACCTTCTACTTCTACTTCTTCTTCCTTTAAATCTCCTGACGCTTCACACAAACAACTTTTCCTTTTCTTCCTTTCACCTACTTCACGACCCACGCCTTTTTTTTCCAACCCTTTACATTCATTCGCTCACAACTCGAGTTTTGTTCCTTGGTCTTTTTCTTTTCTGTCTTGTTCGAATACCCAAATCAATTTTAAGATGAGTTCGCAACGATACGAGAGGGTGCGTAATCCCCACCTAATCCGCGCCACGATTTGTGTAGTGGATGCTATGGTTATGATTCAAAAAGAGAATATATACTAATGCAGTTCAAAATAGGTATCTGCGAACGATGAAGATACCCCTCCGACACCTACATCCCCTCCACCATCCTTCCGATCGCGAGGCTCCTCTCCTTCTTCACGACATCACGTAGCGCCCGTCGACCAAAATCTAGCGGATACTTTTGATGATGGATCTGATGATGAGGATAACGATGGAGATGATAGACAACGATTAATGCGTGGAAATCCTTCTTCGTCAACGGAGAGATTGAACGAAACGACGAGCGATGATCGATCAACTACTCAGAGAACAGTAACCGTCGTGCCGACATTTGTACCGCCAACAGGTGGAAGGGTTTATGGCGGTGGTTCCGGATCTGATGGTGTTTTCGCGAATCTAAGTGCTAAGCCTGAGAGAGGCGAGAAACAAGAAGAACATCCTCCGGTATGTATACATGCTATTGTGTTGTGAACTTGTACTAATGAAATATAGACATACGAACAAGCAGCCGCAGATGCCGCACCACCGTACTGGGAAACCACCATTCTCGCTCCTGGACTTGGTGGATTAGATGAAGTATACGTCGAGGGTCTTCCAGTTGGCTCTCTATTCTCTTTTATCTGGAACGCCATGATATCCATGTCTTTCCAACTCGTTGGTTTTCTCCTCACATATCTATTACATACCACTCACGCCGCCAAAAATGGATCTCGTGCCGGTCTCGGAATTACGCTTATTCAATATGGTTTCTATATGAAAGGAACAAATAATGTTGTTACGCCACCTTCAGGGGGAAATGATGCATCATATGCTCAACCTCCCGATCCAAACTCTCATGATTTCGACCCCGATAAGGTTAACGCGGCTGCTACTGCAGGAATGGATTCGGGAAGTGGAGGAATCGGTGATATCGCTAGTAATGAATGGTTTGCGTATGCATTGATGATTGTTGGATGGTTCATCTTGATCAGAGCGTTTAGCGATTTCATTAGAGCGAGGAGACATGAGCAACTGGTGTTACAAAGCCCGGATCGTGGATTACCAGTTCCTATTATTGCGACTGGAGAGGAGAGCGAGACTATTGTTTAGGGATGGATAAATGGATAGGGTTGGATGGGGGCATGGACAACTGCAATGATAGGGAAGATATTCTTCACACGTAAAGTAAAGCATAGAAGCTTACCCGGAGTTTATATGGACAGGCTAGGCTAGGATGGATTCAAGAGATTATGGATGGGAGATAGGGAAGGGATTACTTTAAAAAAGAATTCCTGATAGGGTTACTATAACTTTTTTTTTTCTTTTTTTAAATATCATCTGGTTGGACAAGCGGGCGTTAGATAATCTAATTCTCCCTTCTTTTTGTCTTGTATTGTGGTATGGTTTTTGCTACTGGTGTAGGCTGACTGAGGAGTGTGAAGAAGATCGAGGAGTAGATGATGTGTATTAAGTTGAGATATATAATGAATATATGGGATTTATATACAAATAGGTGCAATTACTCTAGCACAATTGCATATGGTTTAGTTATGGTTATACACGTACGATGACTTAGGATTTTCTGACTGTGATTATTTGGATGGATGAATGGATGGATGAATGAATGGATGAATGGATAATTGATGTGCTGGTATACATAGGTAGGTAGGTATACAGAGAAAGCATCGTTGATCTTGAGCTTATTTGTTTACCTACTCTCTTAAAGTTCATTTTGCTGTTGCCTACTACTTACTATTTATTTATCTATTCACTACTTACTCACTACTTACTCACTACTTACTCATTATTCATTAATATCTACCATCTACCATCTATCGCCACAGTCACAACCACAACCACAACCACACCAAGCCAGCCAGCCAAACTCAAACATCAAATCTCTCTTCTAGGCCAAATCACCAAATCACCAAATCACCAAATTACCAAATTACCAAATTACCAGGATGTTTCACCAGGTACTAGGTAATATTTATCCGACTTATCCGACTTAACTGACTTCACATACTCACTCACATACTCACTCACATACTCACTCACATACTCACTCACATACTCACTCACATACTCACTCACTAGACAACCAGGTAACTAATCATCTCACCATAACGATTCTCACCAAACCGAGGAACCATTGTCATGGTAGCTAAAATATCTACAAGTCTCACCGGAGATTTAGATCTTTTCGGATTTTCACTCACTTCCTACCTAGATAGAGATTCTTGGGGCCAACCGGGACTTGAGCCAAAGGAACAAAAAAAGCGGTGACAGCACAATATACTCCTTTCTATCATCGTGATTTCGCAGTCAACTATCAGATGCATATCTAAATCAATCATAAATATATCATTCCGAATTATCGTTTCTCATTCCAATCCTAGTCAATACTAATCCTAACCATGACCAATAGCCTTATTCGAGGCTCAAAAACAAGAGCAACAGGATATCATTTTTGCCTTTATCTATTTTCCCATCTCTCTCTTCTCACCTGTAATGGAAAACACACAATGAATCTTTCTCCTAGCTTTCTATTACTCCCAACACCAAACACTCTTTTGTTGTCCTCCCATGCCACAATTTCGGAATCAATCCTTCGCTCCAAACTCCATAATATAGTAAATTTAACAGTAACAATTAATCCAATAACATATGCTCTTCTGCTGTATCGATCAAGTCCTCGGCATTGTTGCCCGTTGCATTGTCGATGTGTTCGTATCTTTTCGTATTGTAGGGTCGTAGTATTGTTCATCATATCCGCGTAGGTCTCCTCAGCATCCTTAACCAGCATATACAAATCGTCCCAAATGGAGGCCGAAACTCTTACTTTGCCCCTCTTCGATAGGTGATAATGGCTCATCCTCTCCCTCGCTGTCTGGTATGATCATATCCTCACTTCCCTTTGAATTCAAAGCAGCCTCCTCAATCGCATCAACTGGAGGCAATGGAATGGATGCCGGTTTAATGTCTGCCAATTTTGTTCTGCTATTTTTGTTGTTTTCGGGGAAAGAGAGACCGGTTGTCCCACGAAGAAGGGCAATGGGACCAGCAGCAAGCATAGGAGTCATTGGTGGGGTTGGTGGTAAGTTGAAGCGGTTGTGTGCGACAGCACCTAATCGCTGAAGAGGCGTGAGAACAGATCTAGTAGCGGTGGCAAGGGGTTTCTTTGCAGCTGCAGTGGTTAACTTTGTTGCAACGGGAATCTTCGATTGGAACTGAGCCGAAGAGGAAGGTGGAGTTGGAAGACCTTGGTTGAAAATGGTCTTCGGAGTTCTCAGAGTCGAAGCATCAAAAGAATACCTGCTTTTCAGACTTGAAAACGGGGTAGACGATTCGGGAATCGGAGATGGAGGTTGCTCAGATGAATTCCTACTGGAGGTCACAGATTCGAGGCTAGGGACCGTATCCTGGGAGTCTTCAGTTCGATTGTGCTCGGTTAACGTACTTGTGCTTTGCTGTGAGCCAAGGGTAGATTTGAATGAAGCCTCTCTGAAAATTTTGATTTTTGGCTGCCTATTCGTCAAGTAGTCATCGACATCTGGAATGCTCATCATCGCTTCCTCAATGGAATCATCCGAGAAGATGGTAATATCTTCCTTCTGTTTATTCTTTTTCTTGGAGACCTTGTTAACACTTGGACTATCATCCTCAAATCCATCTGCAAAGAAACGGCTTCGACCAAGTTCCACTTTTTGGCCAGTTCCCGGTGTTTGGAGAAAGGAATCATCTTCACATAGACGGGCACGCTTTTGTGGGCGAGACTCTGTGGGCGAAGACACTCTTCTTCCAGTCGAAACGGACCTTTGAGAAGTAGGGTGAGGAGGTAATTGAGGCTCGAGATCGGTGGTAGCTCGTTGCAGATGAGGGCGGACTGGTTCAGCAACCCATGAGCCAGGGTTGCGAGAAAGAACCTCCTGTTGACTACGAGAATGTGTAAAGGAATTGATATCTAGTTCCGCAAGAGGAGTCCGCTTGGCTTTGAAATATGTCTCGATTGAAACACCCTTCTTGAGATCGCTTGTGGATACAGATCTCTTCGAAGCCATGAAAGGATTTGCCATCTTGCTTCTGCGCCCAGTGACAATAGGTTGCTTGGTGATAGGATTCAAATCGCCTCTCGCAACTCCTTGGGCAATTTCTGGCAATACGTCGTGCCCAATAAATTGGGTTTGATCTTCCGTAAGTGGAAGATCAGGTTGAGTATGAAGCACTAAGGTGAGAGATTGGGGACAGAAAACTCTTTGATGTAAAAAAGTGAATTCGGCTTGATAAAAAGATTCCAGGTAATTTTTCGGCACGTGAAATTTTCCGTCAAATTGAATCATACGCAGGACTTTTTCAATCGTCTTATACTTCCGAACCAACCGATAGGCTGTCTTTAGCCCCATATTGCTCATACTGGGCAAATAATCGCACCCACTTAAAATTGCCATTCTTCGAAACTCGGCGTCAGACCAGCCCGTCAAGTTAACATCTTTGCAAGCGCAGAAATCGGCCTTGTTGACCTCGATACAATTTCCATACTGGTCCAACTTGGTAAGAAGACATTTAGCACCGAATACTAGAAGATCAGAGTCCTCAGACAATATTCCATCGATTATGCCTTTTCGCTCCAGGTAGACCATTTGGGCATCGGCTTCATATGGAGCTACAATGTATTGTACCCCCATCTCTTTCAACTCATCAATAACATGGCGGGCCATCTCGGGGGTCACATCGACCGCCTTTTGGAATTCCAGGTACGCTTGGGAAGTCTTTCCAGCATTCAATAGTTCTTGCCCAAGTCGTTTACTATCTTTCCGACGCTTTTCTCTATCCTTCTCTGTCGCAGCTTTACTTGGCAAGTAATCTCCATCGAATATCAAGTAAGGAGTGACGCCGAAATGGAGCAGCATTCGTACCCGGTGCATACAATACTCAACATATCTGCTTTTTGGGTTAGCTATTTCTTCCTAGGTTCGTCTCGGTCTCCATACTTTCTTGTTGGCTTTCCCATAGCAAGATCCATAGCACATGACACAGTTCCACGATGGAGCCAGCCATAAGCGTCCACCCCGAGGGTTTTGCCATCGAACTTCTTCAAATTACATGGCTTGTGTATGGATTTGAGCAAAGGGAGAAGACCTATAAGTGGTTAACATAAGGAAACTTGTAGAAATTATCAATGAATTATATACATACCATTGATCCCCATATTGACGATAACGTTAGTAACACAAAACAAACGGATCAATAGAGGGAGATTCGAGGAATCATTAGACCATTAACCATGAATTAGATGTCGTAGGGTGGCGAGCAAAGAATGAAACGAATGTATGAGTCAAGACATGAATAAGGGGAACAGGATACCGTTACTTATAAGTGTTCAATGGTCGTTGAAGTTGTCGTAGGTCGCTGTGAAGATGTCGATAAGACGTTGACACCAAAGTTCGAAGTCTAAAATGTCCATCCACTTAAACCTGCATGATAGAAAGAACGCGTGTGGAAGGCGCGTCGAACACCAAGGAACTTCCTTTGGCTTCACTACGGCAACCATGAAATTGATTGGCGGCGCACCCTTTTTTTTGCAGGTAAGTCTGTGACCTCATATCCCTGCTAGCTTAAAAATTATCAAGCGGGGAATTTTTGCGATAAAGATTCCGATATGGAAAAAAAGTTCAAGAACCGAGTATCTACAACTATACCTACAAAGCATCAAAAATCCCAATTTAACATACTTCAATCAATCAATTACAACTTTCACGATGCCAAAAAGTCTTAAGAAAACATCGAAGCATATCTCGAAGAAGAGAGGAGGGGAAGTTACAGCTTTACATGAAGGGTCTCGGGATTCTATGAGCTTAAGAAGAGCAGGAGGAAGAGATGATAAATTAGAAAGAATGGCTGCTGAGAGAAAGAGACATAATCGTCCCATATGTATGTACTTCAACCGATGTGTGCAAGCTTCAATTCAATTGACACAATCATAGTGGAGCGAGCTCTCTATTTCCAAAATGCCATAAAGGAAAATGGAGTGCAGCCACTCGAGCTCGATGCGATCCATAGTCTCATAAAAACGTAATGCGGTCCCCTAAACAACCATACTTTCAACGCTTTTCGTCTAACCACAATATATCCAGTTTCGTACACCAAAACGATGAAGAGCTTAATGCTATAAAGAAAGAGCGTCGTCCTGGACGACCTGCGAGTACAAGGGAGGACCTCCTGAAAATCAAAATCGCAGCCGACGAGAAAGAATACGAAAATGGATTCTGTTCGTCAATACTCTACCCGAGGGACTTTGAAGTCAACGACTAACAATATACAGATCTACCAGACCTCACTGATTCGGATAATGTAATGGCTTTTGCGCTATGGGAAAAATCCACCTGGTCGTATCTTAACACCTTGAAATGGGTGCGCTTGTCGAGCAGTGGACATATTCAAGAGACTAAATTCCCACCCAAAGGATCTTCATGATTGAGTTAAGCAGAACTGGCGGCGTTAGTGGAGTTTATATCAATACCCAAAATTGCGGGAGCAAATTGCGGATGATATGGTTCGGACGATATTGTTGTTATTTGTGCTATGGGGTTTGTTTGTTTGAAACTTTGAATAGAGTTGAGACATTCAACAAATCTACAAATAACAAACTTGAAATAATAAAATACATTTCTAGCACATACAGAGTAGTAGCTAATACCTAAAAAGCCAATCAAATTAATTCTCAGTCTGAAAATACCTTTGTGAAAACAGCCTATGAAATCATCTCAAATTTACAAGATCCACCTTTTTTTCCGTGCTCAAAAAAAGTTCCCTCAGAGGCGAGCTCAAGAGATCAAATTGTAAAATCTTCCATACCACCAATTTTATATCGCATCAAATTCAAAAAACTCAATTCGAATCCAAAGCATAAACAAATTCATCATGCTTTCCCTCCGTACTCTCACCCGCTCAGCACCACGAGTTGCCCGCGGTCTCACCAGTACCGCCATTAAAACCGCAACCCGACCCTCCCTCCTCCAAGCCGCTTTCCCCGCCTCAAGACTCCAATGCGCATCTGCATTTTCCACTTCGAGCATCAGAGCCAAGTCTGCTGCTCCAGAAAGCGATGCCGAGTTGGTCGAGAAGCTCGCTAGCGAGATCCAAATGGAGGAGGAGATGAAAGAGCATGAGGAACTTCCTACAAGTGTGAAGGATTATATGGAGAATGGTCCTTTTGAGATTCTTGACACACCTGGGCAGGAAGAGGTTGTTTTGACTAGAAGCTTTGGTGATGAGAAGTAGGTTTTTTTCTTTGCTTTTTCTTTTCCGCTACTCTCTTCTATCTGCCTATTTTTCTTTAGATCTTCTTCTTCTTCCCGTCTTCACAACCCTCAAAAAATAAAGAAACCCCAAAACTAACCTCCACCCCACCCACAGAATCCGCGTCTCCTTCTCCATCGCCGACCTCAACGCCTACGACCCCGACTCCGACGAATTCCAAGACCGCGCCATGTCCGACGAAGACCCCAACATCGACCCCGCCGACCCCTCCGAGCTGGACCCTGAAAACCCCTCCGACGCCGAAGGCGAGTCCCACGGCTTCCCCGCCCGCGTAAACATCATTGTCGAGAAGAAGGGCAAAGGTGCGCTCGCCATTGAAACCGTCGCTGAGGATGGCATGATCGTCATCGATAACGTATACTACTATGCCGATGCCGCGCACGCCTATGCGAAGACCACCGAGGCTGTCCACCAACGTCAAGATATGTATGTCGGACCCCCTTACGGAAACTTGGACGAGGATTTACAGGTGTTGATGGAGAGATATTTGGATGAGCGGGGAATCAACCAGGCATTGGCGATTTTCGTGCCCGATTACATTGATATGAAGGAACAGAAGGAGTACTTGAGATGGTTGAAGAATGTCAAGGGATTTGTTGAGGCTTAAGTGTCATCCACTGACGCTCAGAATCACTGATTCTTAACTATTCCTTTTCCCCTCGGTACGAAAAAAAAAGCGTTTCTATTTTGACTTTCCCTTCAATGTTGTTTTCATACCCTTTCCACTCTGCTGGCACCATCATACCTATAAGCTAGGTATACCTGTATATTATCAGATAGCAAGACTGTCTACACTACGTACGATATGACAGATACGAATGCTATGTAATGAATTTCAAGAGAGATACTTGATGATTATAACTTTTGCTTCGCTCGATTGGTGATTGGTGATTAGTGATTGTGCTGTTTAAATTCCATTGCTTCGTTAGACGTACCAGTGTTGTGCTTCTCATAGTCTCACTATTCTCTATTCCAAGTGCTATTTTAAGCTAGGAAACTTTCTCAAGCTTCAAATGGGTGAAGCATACAAGTAGTATGACAAGTATCAGCATCAGCAAGCACCAGGTACAGACGTCATGAATCATACTACGCAGCAGAAAGATACAATTTTTTACGCTTTTTATTTCAAAATACAAAGTAACATCGCTAATTATCAATTCATTGATACGCCATATCTCATTTGATCCCATCCTCAAAATCAGACTTGATTTCTAGTCTTGTTCTCAATCTCAATCTTGTGATTCTTATTTTTATCTGCTCAATAGTGACCTAGCTCAATCACCTACGCCCTGCCCTATCCGATCATACACCACCCACCCCTATGTACTCCCCGAATCCATTGCAAGCAAGTAAGCGACCGGCAACCAACCAAACCGAATTCCTACCAGTGCAAACCAATTCCTTTCCATTGGATACCCACCAAAACATAGATAGATCGCCCGGCCGGCTTGTGGAAAGACAAGGCAAGCAAGAGGAGCAAAAAGCAAATGATAACCCCATCACGCCATGATCGATAAAATGGACGAAGACAGACAGCTAAAGTGGAAGAAAAATTATGCACCGTGTTCTTGTACCTATTCTTCCCGTGTCGTAAAAAGGTATTCAGGTCGAGGAAATTGCAATAGGTGCTGAAAATAAGAAAACATCCAGTGTCGAGGGGACTAAGATAAGCCAGCACAAACGCCCAATGATGCAGAGAGAAGCCTTGATCACTGTAAAAAAGACATTTAAGGTCTAGACACTGGTAGAGGGGAACCTTGAAGACCATCGCTCAAAGATGGTCGGTATAACAAAATCTTCCGGCATACTTGAAAATAGTTATTGCTCTCGCTCCTTGGTCTTTGAAATTTCTTGGCCATCTACCAAGGCTGAGTCATAGTCAGCGAAGAAGCGACCAAAGACTGAACAATGTGCGATCTAGAAGTTTGTGCTCCAAGACCACGAACCATTGGCAAGATTTTCGGCCGTATCTGCAAGCAGGATGACCCGACGTTTATTGCAATAGGATGTCTTGTCCATAATTTCAACCTTCAACTTCTGAACTGCAAGTTCCTGAACCGGCTTTTCAAACATTTCTGACAAATTTTCAACGGCCATCTCGAGATCTCTTTGGTTATTTTCGAACAGCTCTGTAAGATTGTTGCGCTGAAGATAGAAGGCAAATGCGTAAGTCCATTTAAGAGTTTGACGGCAAGTTTGCAAGGCTTGACTAGCCGAGTTAAGGTACTGAACTTCGATCCAAGATAATCCCGACGCAGATTGAAGTTGAATCATCTTCTTCTCGGTCTTATGGTAGATATCCTTGTCCAACTTTGCCGACTGTTCATGATTTGCATATCGATTGTAGTAATGCAAATAACGTTCTAGGGACTTTCGAGAGTTGGCCTGAGCATCTCTAGCTTCGGAGCCACTCTTCTCTTCAAATCTATTGCAATTGTACCAGCTTGTGCCGTGCTCCGACCATAGTCCCATGCACATCCAACAAAATTCGTGTTTGCACTTCCGACATGTCATATGGTTGCAACCTCCGTTCTTCTCGATAGTAGAATTACATTCTGGACATTCTTTTGTGTTGGCAGAAATCCAGTTGGCAGTTTCTGAATCATCCGCGCACTTCTTCAACCATTTCTTTACCAATGTACAAGGTGCAGGCTGATGATCTGCTAAGATACAACCAAAGCAGAAACGATGCTTGCAATCACATACGACTGTTGGGACAACCTTGTCGAGATCTTTCTTCTTGATGCCGCATTCGATAGCATTCTGACAATCTGGAGCGGGACACCATTTCAAGAACTCTTTATCCTCAACGTACGTTCTGGTAAGAAGTTCGTGATATCGTGATTTCAAATCTGCAGCGACAAGGAGATCTAGAGAGTGGCTATCCATAATTCTTCGGCATCCATCATGTGGACACTGAATACGAGCTGCCTCCCCCTCCTCCTTGATCTTTTGAATCAAGTATTGATTGTAGCAGTTGACGCAGTATCTGTGCCCACATTTCATGGCAAATGATTGTAAGCCGGGTTCGTCCTCACAGCAGATATCGCAAACAAAATCCGGTATAACCTCAAGTTTGGGTGGCCCAGATTTACTCGACACCAAACCAGCATCATCAAGAACTTTTTTCGGGCGATCCATGTAATCTTCAATCAAACGTTCCTTGTTCCATCTGAAATGCCTCAAGAGAATAGCTGCATCTTCTTTTCGAATGTCGAGTATCATGTTGACTTCGTTGATAAGTTCGTCCTGCTGACCTTGGACATCCTCGGGATGATGAACCTTGTAGTTAATGTCGAACTTCGCCTTCTTCTTCTGCGAATTATCATCTTTGAAACTGATGTCAGGTGCTGATTCTTCAAAACCGAACTCTAGATAGCATTGAAGGTATCAGCAATTGTATCAAGGTGGGGGAAGTGATTGTGAGGGGTTTAAGAAAATATACCGTTACCATCTTCAGACTCCTCCTCGTTCTCACTCTCATCCATAAGAACGTCATCTTCACTTGATGCTCCAGACATGAAGTCGTCCTCGGAATCCATGCTGATACTGTTGCTGTTGGTTTGCGGCGAGGGAGGTGTTATAGGTTTTGCAGAAGATGCTAAAGTTGCTGCTGCTGAGGCGATCCGTTTGTTGGTTCGAGTCTCGTCCTTGTCGTCGTATGATATCGCCTCAGCCGCCTTTCTCTTTTTAGATTGGGAAGAAATGGTGACTGTGAAGGGGTCCTTGGCTCGTCAAAGCCGACGAGGTCCTAGGCACACAAGGCTACCGAAGAAAAGTGATCTCGGTGTGAGTGACCCTCAAAAGCAAGCAACGAGTCAGGAGTGGCGTGTGATTGTTAGTGTATGTAACCTGATGATTAAAGAGAGAAATGCTGAAGGATTTGCTGAGACCTTCTCACGTTGTTTAGTGGAAGAAGGAATAGGTGTTGTAAAGTAAAAGTAGAGATGACCAGAACAAGTGAGAAGAATTAGGTTGGTAAGAAAGTGTCTAAGAGTGCAGGTTGCAATAAACTTTTGGACTTAATAAACCTTGGAAGATCGGGAACAAACAAAATAGTATGGAATAAGTTTTATTTGGGGTCGTAGTGGCTCTGCTTTATTATTTGTCTGACTAAGGGTTATGAATCCATGTTACAAGTACTGCGTGTACTGCCACTGTTACCGTCTCTTGAAATGGATCTTAGATCTTGACTCTTGAAGTTCAGTTGTTGGCCGTTATCTAATCAATACTTATTACTAGCTAACGGAAGGCAAGGCAAGGCACGACGAGGCAACTACGGCGAGGCGCTTACCCCATCTAATATTAGCGTGTTCTGAGAGCGGACTCGGCGCCCGATATTAACCGATTGATTGATATCTCGACTCATTTCGTACGGAGCTCCTTTCGAATCCTTCCGTAAGTGAATCTTGCCTCTTAGGAAGTCAAACAGCCGTTTCAATAACCCTTAGAAATACGATGAATATGGTGAAAGGCATAGCCTGCAATACATCAGTTATGAAAGTCCATACCTTTCAAGGTACAGCCAATAATTATGAGCCAAGCAATCCTCTGTCGGGTCCTCACATCTTAGAGGTATCCATCGTTTGATCCGCCACACCTAAGTTTCCGTTCAAATGTTATGGTGAACCATATTATGTCTTCAGTTTTCTATACACGTTCCTGGTTTGAACAATGGAGAAATCGGGCGTCGGGTTTCAAATTGCCATTGCAGGTCGGAGGCCCCAAAAATCCTACTGGTTTGGCCAATTACTGCCATTCAGCGTACGTCATCTTATTCAATCTATACCAAAACAGTTCGGCTTCAGCATAAGTATACGCACAGTTGTAAGTATAAAGAATCAAAGTCGAAGCCGTTTTGATCACCTCTCTCTCTCTCTCTCTCTCTCTCTCTCTCTTATTTCTTGATATAGTTCTCTTCTTCATCATTATTATACAAATCGTTACCATGGCCGCTGAGCACCAAATCCCCATCCTGATCATAGGTGGCGGCATTGTAGGTCTATCGGCTTCTCTCTTTCTCTCCCAACACGGAATACAATCTCTCCTCATTGAGCGTCACTCGGGAACATCTATACACCCACGAGCTCGATCCGTCAATGCTCGAACCATGGAACTATTCCGCGGTCTCGAGATGGACGATCTTGTTCGAGAAGCCGGTGCCTCAATGAAAGCAACTATGGGTATTCACAAAGGAAAATCGCTCAAGGAAGTGATAGAAGCTAAGAAACCAACCGATGGTCCTAGGAAGTTTCCTTTGGCTGGTTTGATGAGTCCGATTAGTCCGGTGCAAGGAACTTTTGTAACGCAGGATATGCTTGAACCAGTTTTGGTGGATGTGGCAAGGGAGCGAGGGGGTGATTTGAGATTCTATACGGAATGTGTTAGTATTCAACAAGACAGTGATAGTGTTACGGCCACACTCAAAGACCGAGAAACTGGCGCTGTCTCCTCAGTTCGTGCAGAGTACCTTATCGCCGCCGATGGGGCAGGAAGCCCTATCCGAAATCGACTCAACGTCCCAACATCGGGACAAGGTACGATGGGATATTTAATCAACATACTATTCCACGCCGATCTCAAATCCCTGGTACACAAACGTGAATTTTCCATCTGTGTGATCGAACGTCCAGAGATTAATGGAGCATTCACATCCATCAATAATGACGACCGTTGGGTGTTCCATCTCGCTTATGACCCCTCCAAAGGCGAACAAGCTTCAGACTTCACTTCCGAGAAATGTATAGAGTTATTACGCATTGCAATAGGAACACCCGATCTTGAAATAGATGTCAAAAGCATACTGCCTTGGGAACCATCTGTACGAGTAGCAGATCAACTACAACATGGGCGTATCTTTCTCGCCGGTGATGCTGCTCATCAGATGCCTCCATGGGGAGGTCAGGGTGCAAACTCTGGCATTTCAGACGTTCATAATCTTGCTTGGAAACTCGCACTGGTACTTCAAGAACAAGCAAGCAAGAGATTGTTAGAAACATACAATACAGAACGTCAACCCGTAGGCAAAACAGCAGCAGTGGTATCAGCAAGTGGTAGCGATAAACGGGGAATGGTCTCGCTAAACCTCCGGGATCCAGCTGTTATAGTGGGATTTTATAAGAGGATAGGATTAATCTCCGGACACGGATATACCTATGCTAGTAACGCAATATGCGCAGAGAGTACATCTCCTCTCGGTGGACTGACATGGAAACCGTGGACATTAGCTAGTTTGTTCTTTTTACTCGATGGTAGACCTGGTAGTAGACTTCCACATTTATGGACCATGTATGAAGGAAAACGCATCTCGACTCTTGATCTATGCGGGAAAAAATTCATCTTGATGACTGGAGCAAAAGGAGAAGCATGGATCGAAGCTGCGAAACTAATATCGAAAACTCTAGCTGTTGACATATCCGCATACAGTACAGGACCAAACGGCGATCTCATCGCAGAAACCAACATATTCGAAACCACAACGGGCATATCATCTCAAGGTGCAATATTGGTACGACCCGATGGGTTTATAGCATGGAGAGCCAGAAGACAAGATTCTGGTGTGGAGACGCCAAGAGTTCAACTTGAGGTGGCGATGAGACGAGTTCTTTGTTTGTTGTGATTTATCTGTGGGTTTTGAAGATGTGTGATTAATGATATGGAAATCGAGGAGTTCAGGGATAGTTTTACTGGATCGGATGATGAGTAAATGTAGATCGTCTGGTTGGGATCTATACATCTCCTCTTAGTCGTTATTTGAAATATGTACTTTATCTTAATTGAACATGAACCTTTGATTCTACCCATGGACATGGACATATTGCAGATTAAAGAGTTTCAAACCCCCAACTTTATTATAATTCATGATGGTCTTATTCTCTTACACAAGGTGAGCAACACTCTCCAAAAACGAGTTCCAACAAATGTAAATGTGAAAGCTAGCAGGATTCAGGAAGCTAGGGAATTTATGTATGTATCTCCTTAATAATTTTATATACTTCCATAATTACTTAGTTGCTTAGTATCAGCCAAGCCACTGGAATATTAAGATCGATTTCATTCATGATCAAAGCTAGTATTAATATCAGATTTTCTTGTATACTTTATACTCGTTCAGAAAACTATCATAGGAAGCAGTACATGTCATATGATATATAGATTTAGAATCTTAGGATCATATTTTCCCATTCTTCTTGTATGTTCTCCAGATGTTGAATCGTATAAACTGTAAAATGCATTATCTATTACCAAAAACTATATAATAATGCCGCGGGATTGTTTGTTTTTCAAATTCTAACATACTTCAGATTGTTTCATAATTCTCACTCTTACTAAAATTTCACAAGTATACAGTAGTATATACAAATAAATTATACATTTCTTATTTCTTAATTCATATCTCATACATCATATACCCCAAGCAACTCCAACCATTCCACCACTGACTAAAACTACGACTCGGCTGCCAACCCCTTTTTGATATCAATCACACTAACAGTAACCTTATTTGTCGTACTAGGTGGCAAAATTCCACCACCGGCAATCAAAAGATGGTTCTTATTACTATCCAACACTCTCAAATGTCGGGTGTAACTTGTTCCCTCTGGAGTTGCCACTGTCTTCCATGCATCTGCAGCTCCAAGGGCTCTATTGACGAAAACTTCCGAGCGGCCTCCGGAACTGACAATGATAGTACCGTTTGCACCACCGATTGGTGACCACACGTTATATGGGGAGCCGGTGGGCTGGATACCGTTGTTTGTGATCAGAGGTGTACCGGGTGCGGAGAGGAAGGTAAGAGGAGAAGATGAAATGCGGTAGTAAACGGGGAAGAGGTAGGTGGAGGTGTTGTTTACGGTTGGGCCACCGCCGTATTCGTAGGTCATGATGTATTTACCGTTGGGAAGTTTGGAGATGGTTGTCATTCCTGGACGAGCGGTATAGGTTGAATAGTGAACGTCATCTACAATTGCTCCCCAGGTGAGGAGGTCAGAGGAGACAGTGTGGACGAGCTTTTGACCGTATAATGGATCACGTTGATCGGAGTAGTAGACTTTTGTTTGGTCAGTATTTATGGGATGGTATAGATTATGAGAGTACTTACGAACAACCTGTCCCTTGTATGTGAGAAGGAAAGGTTCCCAAATAGCAGGAACACCATTATCAGGAACAGCTGCACCACCATTTGCTACAGTCGATACGAATTCCCAAGTATATCCGTGATCCAAACTAGCATAGACATCAATCTGAGTCTCACTCAAATCCGTCGGGATAGAATTTCCAGTCGCAAGGATAGTACCAGCTGGGTATTTACCGACTTTCTCCGTCATATAGTATAAGAATGGTTGATATCTCAATCCCCATCCATTGACCTGGTCTGTAATATTTGAGATATGTTTCCATGATTCTCCACCATCTGTACTCTTGAAGATGGGGAAATAGACAAGAGGAGGTTCGGGACTGTAGTTTTCCCATGTAGCTAAGAGCACACCACCTGGTAACTCGACAGTTCGGGCATAGAGAACACCAGGATCAGTCCAATTAGCTCCAGGAGTAAAAATCGTGACATCAGAAAATGTGCTAAAAGGAGCAAGTGCAGGAGCCGCAAAAACCGTCTCGCACACTGCAGCAAGCAGCGCAAAAGAGAAGAACTTCATCTTGAGTAGTAGAGGAGGATCTAGTATGAGAACATAAGGAGAAACTACACAAACAACAAGAGAAAATTCATGACTTTTATACTCTCCTCTATACCCCTGTATTCCCCAAGTTTGATTCACTTGATCATGACCAGGTACTCCGGAAAAATACCCCGCATGAGAATAGTAACCACTGGGAACATAGCTTTGCATCGTACTCTCCAGTATGCGGTCGGTATGGGGATGTCCCCATGTTGATCCCCGCAAAAACTATAGTTGAGCGCGCTGGCCATCAACACGGGACTGGTTCGCAAGAAAGGTTTCTCCAGTGCATTTGGATGCGCACCAATCGGAGAAGAGCGCTAAGTGACTACATCACCCCATCGCCGGTAAAGAAAAACATGTACTTGGCGTTGAGGTGTACCTTGAGAGGGGAAACTTGGGGATACTATAGATTGCATACAGATGTACTGGCGGTGAAATTGTTTGTCCGAGGTTTGGAGTTCTTGGTTTTTCTTGGAGAAGGTTGGGATGGATGAAGTTTTGTGCTAAATTGTCATACGAGAAAGCTAGCGTTGATGATACAATCATTGGGTTGTTGCCGATATAAATTGAGTCTTGGTATTATTACTCAATTTGAGTCAATTTACCACCAGTGTGAATAACTAGTATGTAAATCAATTGACGGGTATCCATCATGTTGTGAAGTTCGAGAGTTCCAATGACAATGTTTCTCGGCCTCATCCCATCTCAAAAGAGGCAAGAAGTGACGATCCTCAGCACGTCACCATCGCTTGCAACTTCCCTTCCAACTTTTCCCAACCCCATGCTATCAACATCTGAATACCTTCACCATTTCACCTCAACAACTCAATCTCATTGACCCCAAGAGATAATTCCTAAACACCAATTCATCTCTCAATTAACAATCAAAACACCTATACAATGGCTACCAGATTCGCGATTCGCCGTCTTGCGACCCCTCAAACTTTCCGCACTTTCTCCACCACCCGCCCAGCATTCATTAAAGTCGGCGATAAAATCCCCAATCTCGATACCTTGGTCGAGAACTCACCCGCTAACAAGGTTAACTTGAGTGAGCTTACTACCGGCAAGGCTTTGATCATTGGTGTTCCTGCTGCTTTCAGTATGTTTATTCCCCCTTTTCTTGCTTTCGCTTTCAATCTTTAGTGGGAATTCCGAATCTGCAATTCTACTCAAATACTCAAATAGATTTGGAGACTTTCGATACCTAAAATCACAAAGGAAGAAGAAAGAAAGAAAGATGGATAATAAATTGACACAAAAACAGGTCCCTCATGCTCCAATTCTCACATTCCGGGCTACATCAATCATCCCAAGCTCAAGGAAGCAGGTGATGTATTTGTAGTTGCTGTTAATGATCCTTTTGTGTAAGTGAGCTACTATGTAAAATTCTGTCATCCATACTCGGCTCTATACTTTCCATTTGATAACTTTGATCGAAATGTCATGAGGATAGCACATAGATGGATGAAATGATCAGATCGTACTAACACGAAATTCCAGTACCAAAGCATGGGGCTCAACTCTTGATCCTACCGGTGAATCGGGTGTATGTGCTCTACCCCCCTCTCCCTAACCCATCCACTCACCCCCCTCAACCATCCGCGGTCCCCAAACTACCATTGACTCTCCCCTCAAACAGATCCGTTTTCTCGGCGACCCAACCGCCTCCTTCACCTCCGCCCTTGATCTAACCTTCGACGGCGCCACCATCTTCGGCGGACCCCGCAGTAAACGTTACGCGCTCCAAATTGAAGATGGGAAGGTTAAGGCTCTTCATGTTGAGCCTGATAATACTGGTTTAGATGGTATGCTTTTCCATTTTCAATTCCTTTCTACAATCTTTTGCTTCTCCCTTCTTCGTTTTCGATGTTATCCACCCAGTCCCGTGGTATCTCCACACATCACTCTCATCCTAGTTCAATCATCGCAGCTCGAGAGCAGAGCAGAGAAAGGCAAAGCAGGAGAAAAAAGCTAACACAGCCCCCTCTAATAGTCAGCGCCGCCGAAAAAGTCCTCGGCTAAACACCCCAAGTCAAATCAATTCATGATCCCTAGTCACCCAAGTCCTAGACATTTCTCACTTTGATCAGTGGTGTATTTATCCATTACTTCATCTGCTTCATATCCACATGTCAAATAGCTGGCCCACGAACAGATACCTCGAAATGAATGATCAAAATACTCTTTCTGCTTGTACCCATCCATCGTTTCCCAAACCGTGAAACATCTACCTAGTAACCAATGAATGTGACAATGACAGTGACCCCTTCATCTCAAAGCAACAATCCCAGCACACCCAATACCCAAGGAGAAACCCCACAATGAGATACACGATACAGGTAAACGCACCAAGACTAGCTTTAGTGATGCTCCTCTGTATTTTAGATTTTGTAATTATCAAGGTCCGTTTTCTCTATACACTATCATCGAGAGCTTATTATTTTTTTAGGACCGAGCAGTCTATTTTTATAGTGCCTCGGCCAAATATTGTGCCGATCTGAACCCCGAGAGCGATATATATAAGCTGCTCATACCCCAATTCAAAACTCAGCTGTATCTGTCCGACAACCACAAGATTAAAGTGATATCTCGTGTTCACTTTCAAACCATCGGGCCCAAGTTTTGGGGGGCCAGTTGTTATCATTCGCTCAAGTGCGTCGGATGTTTAGAACTCCGTCTTCGTTCTGTCAAATCATGCCTAGGCAATTAGTCGCTGATGTTGGATTGGATTCTGGTGGTGCAGAAGATCGCTCGAATAGCTACAATCGCATCCGAAAGCGAGATTCATCTATGCTATATATATTCTCTCAAGTTACATTGCGTATATTCATGATCCTATTATGCTGTACGACGCGACGTTCTACCTCCCCCTGCATCTTTCTTACATTGTAGCACCTTGTAATGTCAGCCCTAGAGCGTTTTACATTCATCCTTATTTTCTTTATGTGTGCGGCTACTCCTTCAAGAATAAAGCATAGTTCACGGGATGAAGTTTACTCAAAAATCTACCCATGATCTGGTTTCTTTTCTTCGTCTTTCTAATAGGCAGTGCCGGTGCAGCGGGCACCTCTAACAATTTCATATTCCCCTCAAACCTCTCAACTCTCAACGCTTCTCACGTCGTCGAAGGATCATACGAAGTAGGCAGCACAGTCGACTTACGATGAGATACCATCTGGGATATGGTCACCATTGTCATCTGGCAAAATGGAAAGCCACCTTATCAATACCTTCCTAATTCTGGTAACTCAACCTTTATTTTTATTTTACATTCCATCTGATGGATTCCAATATCTCGAAATTCGTTTGACATATTGAACTCATTCAAGACATTTAACCAGCTCGAACCACTAGGATTTACTGAGATATCTACGGTGGCTGGATAATCGAAAGCTTTCTCATCTGTACTGAACTTGAATGAACTACGTTGTTTCATCTTACTAACAACGTTTCCAAATAGTTCAAATACCCAATCTGGTAAATTCATACACATGGATTATCGATATCAGTGGCACGAACGGTAATCCGGGATTCGACCTCAACAATGGATCGACATTTTATTTCATAATCACGCATACTGGAACCCCTGACTTATTCGCAAGTCAGTCGATTAATATTACAAATAAGGCTATCAGTTCATCTGCTACTTCTTCTCCTTCTTTGGCAATTGAGGCAACAAGTACTGCGAGTGTTTTGACGGCTGCTTCGAGCACATCTTCTTCAGCTGCTTCTCCAGCTACAACATCGAGTGAGTTGAGTACAGGTGCTAAAGTGGGTATAGGAGTGGGTGTGACACTGTGTGTTGTGGCTATCGTCGCAGCATTTGCGCTAGGATATTTTTTTCGACGACCTTCGAAGTCTCCAAGTACTCATATCATGAATACGAGACCGAGAGATGAGTCGGCGGAACCGAAACCATTTGGATGGCAACCGCCACAGGAATTGTCGTCTAGCGCCCCGCGCCCGAAACCATTCGTACCGCAACCTCCTCAAGAATTGTCATCGAAATCTACACGCTCGAAGCCTAAGGGTCCGATTTTTGAGATACAGGGGTAGGGAATGCATGAATTGCGTCTAAACTTCGAGGGAGTTTTGATCTCTTTTTGTTGGTCGCATGGTTTTATTTTCATTGAGGGATCTTCTGAGCCGATTTTGTTCGCATGGTCAAATATCGTAATGCATGATTTGCATACTATTACGGTACGCTTCCTGTAAATAGCTTTTAGAATATACATTACTAGTACATCTCACAGAAGACAAAGTGTTGATAAAGGTACTTGGATATTTGTTATTTCATCTCTTGGCATAATCGCGAAAGTGTTACGAGCACCTTCAAGCGAAGGGATACGAGTATCGAGAAAGCCATCTATCAACCGAGTTTCGATTTCTCGAGGTACAAAGTGATCAATTTTCTTCCGTGTTGCGTGGTGTCAATATCAAGCATATATACAAGTCTGCCACAGAATCGGTGTCTCAAAAACATATAACGAATTCCACAAAAGATCGGAATGGATTTATGTATTCGATCAGCCACTACAGGAGCGCTAATAAACTCGTGGTTGATGTTCGCCTCCGCCTCCGCCCTGATATAGTGTATATTTGTTAACATCATCCAGAGCCACAATAAAGTTTATTTATTTGCACGAAAGGATTTTGATTCGTCTCGAGACCACACAGAAAGAGGGAGACCACTTTAGCCCTTGTGCCAATAATACACGAATACAGAGACGAGACGAAGAATTGTAGTACCGGGTCTGTTACCCGAGGCGAGGGTGACAGTGTCTCCTATTGATACCCCAAAATTGTGCTGGGGCGTCTACAAACCAAGTCCCCCTTCCTCCCCCAACAGGTTCGCTCATATAATACTTCATCCGCCAAGAAGAAAAGGGTTAGCTGCCAGTCCAACATTCGTCGCTTTTTGTGTCCGTAATCCAGCATACCAGATCACGCACCGGCCATTCATTTTCTGCACCAAAAGTTTCGATCCCCCTTTCCGCATAACGAAGAGGTGCCAGAAGAAGCCCCTCGTCGTTAGAAAAGCCAGTCTGAATCCCGACAGAAGAATTTCAGATATTATCAATATGTCATAAATCAGCTTCGCACTTCTGAATCCAGGAAACCTATTCATCTATCTACCTATCTACACACACACACACACACACACACACACACAATTCAATTCTCCTGCTCCGCTCCATTCCACTAATCTCCTAACCAGCTAACCCACTAACCCACCAACCTCCATACTTTGCGCAGGTAGATACTAGATAGTTTACGTATGGATTTAAATTCAAGGGGATCGTTGATATACTAAGTACTTCTCTCCCCCCCCTTTATCATCTTACATATGATACCTGCCCACCCACCCCACCTACCAATTCACGTCAACTTCTCTTGCAGAGGAAAGAATCTCTCTAACCAGTATTATTTCTTTCGAACTCTGCGGATTCTGAATCTCAAAACTCAAAACTCAAAACAATCATCACAATAATTTAATAGCCTAATTTCACCAAAGCATCTCGGATACAAATATTCCCTATATGAACAGAACATTGAGATTTAAAGGCTACATACAAATCGCTAAACGATGTCTGAATTGTCAGATAAATTAAGGAGGCTCAATTCATCAAACTCCAATTAATAACGCTAAATAACTTAATTCCCCATTTTCCATTCCATCGTACATGATTTAAATCATATCCCATGATATCATCCCCAAAATCATCCATCTATAGCAATGCTTGCTCGCTCAAAATCAATATGGTATCTCCACCTTACGCCAAACCAAACCAGAGATCCACACCGCACTTGTACAACCAGCAATAATAGACTGCTCGTATTAAACCAAATCCCAACCAAGAATGGCCTGAACCCAATATAAACCTTCCAAATCACGCCATAGAATGCCCAAGTCCGATATATTCACCAATTGAAATAAGATTCAACTCCAAATCTCACAAATGTTTACAACATTCAAAGTTCCACCTCATCACTCTCCTCCAACGGAATCGGAGGAACGGATTTACTCGCCGCACTCCCCAACTGAACACTCTTATCACTAGCTTCCATTTCATACCTTTCCTCCTGGATCGCCACAGCCTTCGGATCGACACCTTTTACAAAAGCCAACATATCAATACTATCATCATCATCGTCGTCGTCTTCTCCAGCGTCTTCAACATCCATGGCATCGCCATCAGATGATACTTGAATGTCGTTATCTGACATTAGATCTTCGCCTTTTTCTAGAGGTTCGTCTCTAAGATGAGAAATTCCCATGAAAGACGACGAGGTATCCGAAAATTCTCCTGTGGTTTCAGTGCCGGAAAGCATGTCGAAATAAGAGGATGGCTCGGGTATGGGTGACGGGTGGAGCATTATCAATTCTTCCGAGATGTTTTCAGTCTTAATGGGTAAACTCTCATATGGTCGTTGCGGTGGGCATCCATTGGCAGGATTGGTTAAGGAAGCCAATTTACTAATTATGCCATCCGCCTTATTCTGAGGCTCGGGATTGTGAAATGAATCTAATGAAGACTGTGAAATTGTGTGTAAAATCTTCGAGGTTGAACGCGGAGCAGAGAATTTAGAAACCTTGAAAGGAACATGGTCATGATTCGTTGTCAATCGTGTATGAACCTTGTAAAGCAAGTGGTCGGCTGGCTGTGTGCCGGCGAGCCCACTGGCGACAAATTCGGCAAGGGGCTGAGGAGATTCAGGGTCGTCACAAGCGATGTCGGTGGTAAATTCGAAGTCCGTATCATCGGAGAGTACACTAGGGGTTTGTGGTCTTGTTTCTGGGGACTGTAACAGATCTCCTCCTTTGGAATAGTCCTTGAAAGGCCTGAATGGTAGAAAAGAGCCGGAAGGAGTCCTGTCCTTAAGAAGGTGTCTTGTAGGATGTGAGCAGCCGACAGCATCTTCAGTGTGATTGCTGTAACCATCTTTGTCGACGCTGGTAATATGTAACGGGGTTTCAAGGTCGCCACGATCACCAGAGAGATCACTAAAGAATTTCGTTCCATTGTAGAATATCAATGGCCCATCATCGCGTGGACTGTTGTCATGTCTCTTGATAGGGAACGCAAAACCGGGAAGACTATAACCATTTGGTGAGATGTCGCTCTCATCACCAGACACCTCGGACGTATGTTGTGGATAACGAACAAACATCGGCTCATAAAAGCATGCATCCGTCACTTTAGGATTCCTTGAGCTCTGGTTTATAATTTTCAGGGGTGCTTGTCCCGTAGGAGTGAATTTGTTGGCATGAACCTTGCGTCTTTTGCGCGAAGCTTCATCACTGCCATCACTATCGGGTGGAGATCGTTGATGAACACTGCTATTACCGCTGTCACTGCTTAAGCTTGTTCCTTGCGTACCACCTCTCCATCGCAGTTTCTTGCCATCTGGAGATATCTGAAGTTTCCTACTCATTTCGGTGACGGCAGATCTAATAAAGCCAGGCGTAACGTTGATAATATGCAATTGCGCCATATTGATGAGAAGATTCAGATAGACCCACCCCTCGGCATCAACGGCAGCATCTTGTGATTCTTCTGTTAATAGTTGGGGTGCTGAGATTCCGAGGTGGCGAATATACTCGACATTATCGGAACCGACTTGGTCACGATCTGGATCCAAATCCAAGGGTCTAGTCGGCCTTTGCTGTGGTGAAGGGGATCCGCGAGACTTTTGGGGAGAATTTGACTGTCCTGTTGGCGATTGGCTATTCTTTGAATTGTTTACTAATCCCTGCTTGTCTAGTTCCATATTATGTGGCCCGATATGAGCTTCGCGTACACCTTCTCTAGGGTGGAAATGAATTTGCGAGGCATGGTCTGCTCTCGCGGCCGACCTAGACACCTCTTGCTGTTGTAAAGATTGACTATGCGCACCGATGAGCGATCCTGTCTTTCCTGTAAATAATTGTTCTAGACGCCGAACAACCATCCTCTTTCGCTGATTCTCGGACATCTCGAGGGACGATCTCGGTTGTAATCCCTGAGGAATGTCTTGCAAGAAATCTTGCATTTTTTGATCGTTTGTGATCCGCGATTGCGTTGGCCTATGCCCTTCTCCAGCCGAGGAGCTATGCGAGGGCCCGGATCTTGACATCGAGGCATATGCGGAGTCAGTCGGTCGGGAGTTAGACCCCGATGAAACAGATTTATGCTTTGTGGGTTTACCGGAAAGCGGATAAGCTCTTGACTGTCGACCTGTTGGACCATTGATACTTAGATCTTCTGACGAACTGTCAAAACTGGTAGAAAATGAGCGAAGAAGTTCTTCTAGCTCCCTTCGTTTACGTGCCGATAAGGCATGGATTTTGACTTCGAAGAGTTTCTCGTTCTCCAAGTGGGTAGTCGATGAACGCCCATATCTTTTCAATTTCTCCTTCAACTTCTGATTTTCGATGGTCAAATCGTCAATGATACTGCGATACTCTTCTGATGCACTGCCATCTCGAGATCTTGATATGGGTTTCAATGAGTGTAGATTGTATCGGTTGCCTCGAAGTGGAAATTCTTTGCTGGAATCGGTGTCCTCGTTAGAGCTGTGGTGAAGAAAGTATGGCGGGTCACCTGCAACTATGTCAATTTACAGGAGCCGGTGAAGCTCCGTAACCAAAAACTTACTGGTGTCTCCAGAGTCCTGGTTGACAGCAATCATAGGACGTGTATTTGAGCGATCAAACCATTCATTTACATTCGTCGCAACAGTATCTTCTGAATCGTCCGATGTTTGTTTTCTGAAAGGCGAGGTGGAATTGCTTCTTGGCTTAGTAGAGGTGTCAACTTGCTTTACCACACTCAAATCCGACCTTTCCTTCCCAATAGGATCAGGCGTGTCGTGCCTCAAGGAGACGGAGAGATGTGCCGGAGGTCTTCGAGGATGAGAAGCCGTCGCAACCATAGTTGAATCTGATTCCAAATTCATAGTCGACGAGACAATTCAAGATGTTTTGAGGTACTATAAATGTAAAGAACCCATTGCAACAGGCCGTGGACAATATCACAGTCGACCTACGGTTTGAATGAGATTATGTGCAAATG